AGTTTTAATTCCTCCTCAGTCAGGTGCGATTTCTAGATTCCCTAATTGATCTTAGCCTTTAGTTGACCCTACCAGAGAACTCCCTTTCAGTCACTCCCCTTTTAGGTTGTAATTGGAAGCTGACATTTATTGCTTTACTACCCTGATAACTTCAAGCCTCACATTGCTTTGCCAAAGAATTACTGTGTGGGTGTATATACTGGTTCTCTGAGAGCACTGAAAGAAGAGGATGGATGGAGAAGAACAAAGATGAGGACAGAGATGGAAAGAACTAGATAGAAAAGAGAGAACAGCAGAAGGAACTGAGAGCAGGAAGGACTGAGAGGAGCTAAGAGAACAGAAAAGTAACTGTGTAGATATAGAATTGAATTTAGAAGAATAAAGTGAATGGATGAAAGAACTCAGTGTGCTTAGATTCATTTGAATATCCCTCAGATTAGAATCCTCAGCTGGTTGTTAGATTCTTCCATGGACCCTGGGAGAAAACAATAAAGACTGGACTTATTATTATTTTCGGTAATTCTAAGTCACACATTCTTTTATTTTTTATTCTTCTCTCATACATTACATCCCGACTGCAGTTTTCCCTCCCTCCATTTCCTCACCAACCCCAGATCCACTCTTCCTCCATTTCATTTTAGAAAAGAGCAGCCCTCCCAAAAATATCAACCAAACATGGCATAACAAGTTTCAGTAAGACTAGGCACAAACCCTCATATCAGGGCTTGACAAGGCAACCCAGTAGGAGGAAAAGGGTCCCAAAAGCAGGCAAAAGAGTCAGAGACAACACCTTCTCAGCCCATTTGCCATTTACATAGGAGGACTATTGATATTTTTGAGTTAGTTTGTATCAGGCCACTTCACTGAAGGCAAGTCACCAGTTTTTATTCAGTAGCTATGATTTTTTCAATTTAAGTGTGTGGCTCCTACTTGTGTACTTCTTTCATGGTACTGACTTTTGTAGGGGTTTCTTTTTAAATATAGTGTGTGTGTGTGTGTGTGTGTGTGTGTGTGTGTGTGTGTGTGTGTGTGTGTGTGTGTGTGAAAGAGAGAAAGAGTGAATGTACACAAGTACATGACATGGGTAATGTCATGGAAGTGAAGGCCAATAGATAAAAGACTTAAACTTTACACAATCAACCTTACAACACAATAGGAAAAAAACTGAATAAAAATATTTTAAATTAGCTGGGCAATGCTGGAGCATGCCTTTAATTCCAGCATTCGGGAGTTGGAGACAGGTAGATAGATCTCTGAGTTCAAGGTCAGACTGGTCTACAGAGCAAATTGCAGGACAGCCAGAGATAGACAGAGAAATGCTGTCTTGAAAATCAAAACAAAATAATCAAATTAGAACAACATTGACACTAACCAATAAAGCAAGGAAAACTACTGAGAAGAATAAAATGGAATTAAGCTAAAAAAAAATATAAAATTACCCATAGGTTCTCAGCTGGATCTCAAATCCTAATACCGTTTATAAATGTAAATTAAAACTCCAGACACTACAAATACAAATGGTAATATTGCATTCTGATCTCTGCTGGGGCTTTAACAGACACTTGGAGCTGGTGAACAGGTGTGGAGAGTTCGTATTCCAGTGAGTCATTTCTCTCTTCACATGCTGAACACCTAATTATGTGTTTTATGTGGAAGTTTGAGTGCACGCAAGTGACATGCCTTGCCTCTCTCACCACCTTTCACTCTGTGTGTCTAATTTCAATGTGCCACACTAGAACCACGTGTGTGTGTGTGTGTGTGTGTGTGTGTGTGTGTGTGTGTGTGTGTGTGTACACATAGGAAGAATAGATTTTTGTGACTGATGTGTAGTAGGTAACATGAATGGTAACGTAAGTATATTCTCCAAATAGTAATAATACATTGTCAATTTTATAAATACTATTTATGTTCAATAATTTTGGCTCTATCTCTGGAATGTATACAAAAGTAAAATAGAGTGACATATAAAATAATATTTTAGCTTTTAAAAGAATCTGTAGATCTACATGTATATTAATTCTGTGGTTGATATATTGTGTATCCTAATAAACTTATCTGAGGGTCCGAGAACAGAATAGCCAGTAGATTAGACATAGAGGCCAGAAAATGGTGGCACACACACCTTTAATCCTATCACTTGGGAGGCAGAGATCTGTCTGGATATCCGTGAGTTCAAGGCCACACTAGGAATAAAGCCAGTTGTGGTGGCACACACCTTTAATCCCAGCACTTGAGATCTCATGTCTTTGTTTGGGAAAAACCTTTAATCCCAGGAAGTGATGGCAGGAAGCAGAAAGGTATATAAGGCGTGAGGGCCAGGAACTAGAGGCTTTTATCCATTTGGGTGAAGACTCAGAGGTTTCCAGTCTGAGGAAGCAAGATCAGCTGAGAAGTTGGCAAGGTGAGGTTAGCTATGGCTTGTTCTGCTTCTCTGATCTTACAGAATTCACCCCAATACCTGGCTCCGTGTTTTTTATTTAATAAGACCATTCAGAAATTTGTATACACACATGTAATATTAATTCCTGATTGTTACATTCCACTTTATTTTTGCAAATTCTAGCAGGAAACTTGGCAAACTGTACAGAGTGATGCTCCCTGCACTCTTCCTTAGGTTTAGAGGTCAGTCTACAAGGATCACAACTGAAAATGGTAACAACAGGCTGTTTAGACTAAAATGGGCTCCTCAGTGTCCAGCAGATAGTTTTGCTTCCAGAGATGTGTGCTGCGACTTTTTCTTCTTCCTTTTCCTGCACAGTCATCAAGAGTAAAATAAAGTTCATTAACATTTTTAAAAGAAATTACTCAGAAAATCCATCATATGATGTGCCTATCACTCCCATAGGTATATAGGTAATAATAGCTACCTATTTCAGGATAGAAGTTATATACATACATACACACACACACACACACACACACACACACACACACACACACACACACATATATATATATATATATATATATATATATATATATATATGGGTTTTTCCAATATAAGATTTCTCTGTGTTGTTTTTGTGCCTGTCCTGGATCTCGCTTTGTAGACCAGGCTGGCCTCACAGAGATCCTCCTGGCTCTGCCTCCCAAGTGCTGGGATTAAAGCATGCATCATCACCACCCAGCTTCAATCTATATTTTTATTGTGCACTTAGTTATATAAAGAAATCATTCTTGCTAATTAATAAGTAAGTTTTTATTATCAAAGATGTATAAATAAATGAGTTATAAATGTACTGTTTAGTGTTTCATATATTGATTTAGATGATAATATAAAGACTTTTTAACCAAGTTTAATGATTAATAACATAGATACAATTTAACTTCATATATTTCTACTTTTAAGATATTCTATTTCTAGTGAGTGCTTGTTATTTGAAATATTAATGTTGTGAATATTTATCAATGTCCCAAACTGGACACAAATAATTTAACCATCTTATTTGATGCTGTTTGTACCTTTTATTCTGAGAGCATCATCACAGCAGAAAACAGGTTATTTCACACATCATTTCAAATCATCAAAAATAATAATACAGATTTTAGAGTTTCATTATTTCATTTCATAGTGAACACACAAAGTATAATGTTTTAGCTTTAAAACCTTTCTTTCACTCATTTGATTAACAGAATTAACTGCATAGAGGTTGTTCACTGCTCCAGTTCCTCTCCTAAAAGCTCAAACATAAACCTCAGAGGCTATGCCATTACAGAAACTACTAGGAAAATTAAATGTGACATGCAAAATATTACATCATTTCCCTTTTACCCTTTCAAAGAGAACATGCTGGATGGAGTTTATTTTAGATTTTAGGTGAACTATAATTAAATCATTTCACCTTCACCTAAGGAAGTAAGAAATTAAACTTTATGCATTAAGCTATAATTGGAAGATTACAGAATAAGCTCTCTCTCTCTCTCTCTCTCTCTCTCTCTCTCTCTCTCTCGTGTGTGTTTGTGTGTGTTGCTTTTGAAATAAATAATCACATCATCGCATCATTTCAGGTGGTATTAATAATAACACAATAATAATCATTGAATTTTAATTTTCTGGACTAATTTTCTAGTAGTTTTCATCACATGATGGATGGAAAATTCCTTAAAAAAATGTAGAAGAATGACATTAACCAGACATATTTTGACTTGAGAAGTGTCTTAGTTACTATTCTATTGCTGTGAAGAGACACCATGACCAAGGCAACTTATGAAATGAAGCGTTTAATTGAGGGCTTGCTAACAGCTTCAGTGGTTTTATTCATGACCATCATGGCTGGGAGCATGGCAGCAAGCAGGTCATCCTGGCAAGGCCTCTTTCATCTGTGAGTAGCAGACAGAGAGACACTGTGCCTGGCCTGGCCTTCTGATACCTCAAAGCCTGCCCCAGTTATATACCTACTCCAACAAGACCACACCTCACGCTTCCTAAACAGTTCACCAACTGGGAACCAATATTCAAATATATGAGCCTCTGAGGGCCATTCTTATTTAAACCACCACAAGAAGCAAAGGGAAATTGGTAGCTATCATTAATAGTCGAACCAAGATTTATATATTTAACATGCTTCTACATTTTTTATTTATCAAACTAGTTTTTCTAGAAGTATGCCTCAGGTACTGTATGAGACAGGAAACTCAATGATGAAAAGCAAGCCTCTGATTTCAATTTTGTTACAGTGGTAGAGAGTTGCCCAAAATGAAAATTCAATAAGGGAAATATGAGCAATTACTCATTTAGACTCACATAAAAGACAAAAATATCTTTTTCAACACTGAGTCCCAAAGAAAGCTTCCTGATTTCTGCTAATAGTTCCATTTTGTCTCGAGGAATAATGGTATCTAGTGGCTGCACTTAAGCAAGACAATTAAATCACAATTGTACATTTAAAAACTTCTTCAAGCTGACATGTAGACAACAGAACAAAAGCAGGGCAGTTTAGGAGACAGAGACAATGTCTGTTATATTTATAACGTCATAATCCAACGGTTCAGTCTCACAGCGATGTGGGGTTCAAAGACACAGGAGGGCATGGATGAGAGGAACGGCAGCCTGTGCTTGGCAGACCTAGCGAGGTGAGTTGAGGGTGCACTTTGATTTACACGTTGTCGTCACTCTCTGTGAGCCGACATTCATCATAATTCCCTCCTGCTTTAATCCCACACTGAGGCAGCCAAGTCCTTGTCAGCATTCCAAAGCTGTAAGGAGGTTCAGTTAGTACTGCTCAGGTTTGGATGAGTACTTGCAATCGTCTCAACAGCTTCCAGACCTTGGCTCAGTCTATAGGTGATCATTTTAACATAACCACCTTTAATATAGATGCCTCAACAAACAGATATCAGCTTTCTCTTTAGATCATTTATTAGTGTTTGAGTCAATACAAACATCTTTGAGTTGGCTAGAAATTCTTTTTAAAATGTTTCTCATAATTTTTAATTGGGACATAAAAATACGGTTTTGTAAAATTTTGTGTAACGATTCAGAATGTATATATCATGCAATGCTCAGATTAGATCAAGTTATCATCTCAAAAACTTATGTGTTTTGCTTTAAATACTAAAAAAATTTTCTTCTATTTAAAAAAATATAAGGTGCAATATTCCTATGTATAAACTATCCTAGCATACAACAGAATAACAGAGCTCACTTCTCTTATCAGACTGTTATAAATTAGCAATCATTAGTGAATTCTTACCACACTCCATGCCTTCCTTATGTGTTCACCCTCTGGTAAGAAGCAATATACTCTCATCTTCTACAAAGTCAACTTTTAAAAAATGTATTCTTTCAGAATTTTATGATTATTATCTACTTTTATCATCCTTCCCACATTGTCCTCTCTTGTCCCCTTCCCCTTCCTATGGAACCTCCTCTTGTTCTAACAACACCTCTCCTACTGATTTCAAACTGCATGTATGTGTGTGTGTGTGTGTGTGTGTGTGTGTGTGTGTGACTACATTTAACTAGGCTTGCCTGTAAGAAGTGCTCATAGGTGGTAAGAACCTGCCATCGGGGTTGGCTACACCACTGAGGAATTTGACTCCCCCTTTCCAGGCAAACATTAATGCCTAGAGCTCCTCAAGGAGAGGCGGGTTCTCGTGAAACTCTCACCGACTGTCATGGGATGTTGATGGGTCCAGACTTGTGCAGCTTTCCTGTTGCTGTGATTTGTGGCTATAACAGCTGGTTCACATACAGAAGAGAGTTTTTCAAGCACCCGTCTCACCCATGACTCTTAAAATCTTTCTGCCTCCAGATCTGCAATGTTTCCTGAGCCTAGGAAAGAGTGATACAAGATATCCTTTATAGGGCTGAACACTGAGCAATCACTTATGTCAGCACATTGACCACTTATGATTCTTTATATTAACTGTTGTCCATTGTCCACTGCACACAGAAGCAACCTTAACCAAGGATATGGGCAGCACTGAAGTATTCATACAAACACTTAGGAGGCATCTTAACACCAAGTCCTTAGAGCAAAACAACAGTAGTAGGTTTTCTGCTGTAGTGGTTGGATGAGAATGGTACCATAGGCTCACATATTTGATTTTTTGTCACCAGGGAGTAGCACTACTTGAAAGGATGAGGAGGCATTGGGGGAAGTGTGTCACTGGGAGTGTGAGGTTTCAAAAAACCTGGAGTCTCGTTCTTTCCTGCTGCATGTGGATCCAGATGTAGAATTTCTAGCTATTTCGGTACTACCTTATCTTCCTGCATGCCACCATGCTTCTCACCACGATGACAATGGACTAAACTTCTGAAACTGTAAGTAAGCCCACAATTAGATCCTTTCTTCTATAAAAGTTGCCATGGTCATGGTGTTTCTTCACAGCAATAGAAGAGTGATGTAGACACCTGCCTAAGCCTATGACCTCTGCAGCCATAGGCTTTTGATCAAGTAATGAATTCCCCCCAAGTGCCTGTCTTGAGGAGATTTCTGTCAGGGCCCAGAACAGATGCTACAAGCAGCTAAGGATACTAATTTGAGGGATATCAAATGAATCTTCAGTACATTCCCTTTATTCCTCTAAGCCAATTCTTTATATATAGCTTTCTATAGTCCACTTACTTTATTCTTCTAAGCCAATTCTATTTATACAGTTTTACTCACCACTCATGAGGTATGAAGATACCCAGGTCTGGATCACCCTTGGTGAGATCTGCAGTGTAGCTGAAACCTGGGTCCTATGAGTATCCTGTTCAGGCACCAGTAACTGGGGACAATGGGAGTCCAGTTCCTTGATAGTCCCCTCCCAGGGTTCAGAAAGAATCTAAAACCAGCTAATAATTTAATCTTTGATGAAAAGAAATGAATCTATATACACGAAACTCCTTAGTCCATACACTTTATTATTCTGTGTCAGTTATCTCTCTACAAAGTTTCTATTCTGCTCTCATTTTTAGTTCCCTTCTTGCTTGATTTCTCTTTACATTTATCTGCTGTCCCCTCTAGATTCTATCTTAATTCCTTCATCTTAGTTCTGCCCCATCTAGGTTCTCATCCATCTAGTTCTTTCCCATATCAGCTCCTCTCCCATCTCCTTCTCTCTCATCTTGTTCTTCCCCATCTGGCTCTTCTTCATCTTCCATTTTGTTCCTATGGTACTCTCTTTTAACCCTTCAATCTAGTTCTTCCCATCTAGTTCGTCCCTCTCCGATTCTTACCCATCTAGTTCTTCTGTTCTCTTTTCTCTTCTCTGTCTGTCCTCAAGTTCTCTCTTCAAAAGTCCTCCTCTCTCTCCTTCTACCTCTCAGCTCTCTGTATTCTCTCAGTTCTCCCTAAGTCTCTCAGGAATCCAGTTATAAACCCAAACAATATCAATCCTCTTGCAGAGCAAGGTCACCAGGCTTGAATTCTTAAGGGGTCATAAAGGCAAGTAAGAATTCTCCTCAGGCAGTGATCCTCAGGCTTTCTTTTACAACCCAAAATGGGAGTGGTAGAAGAGGAGGTCAACTGAGTGCTAGTGATAGGTTAGTATATCAAAAGGGGATCTATGTGCTCAGTCTACATTCCTAGAAGTGATTAGGTAAGAAGTTAGGGGTCTATTAGTAAGGTTATATAAGAAAGGAGGGTCTCACCCTAAATTGCACAAGAAATAAAGCTATAGTCTTTATATATATATATAAAAGCTAAAATATCACCAAGACTTCTTAAGCCACGGCTTGACCTTTGGAGAAGTCCTTGACTTTACCAAGTAGTAGCTTTTGTGATAGTAGCTGAATTCCATTACATTTTCCTGTGACTTGCAGCAGTCAAGTTTACAGTACCAAGAATACAGCATGAGTTTGTCCTGTGAAACAAGCCAGAAACCCAGTCACAATAGCTGGTTAGTCCCATGACAACTGTAGTACCGTTGCAGTAGTGGGCGGGTCTTGCCTACACATTTAAATTGCAGCAAAGAGTGTTCACAGCTGAGTGAGAAGATGGTTGATGGCTGCTCTTCCCCAACAGACAGCATCATACCTACAGGCAAGTGAAAGACAGCAAGGAGTAGGGAAGCATCCATTTCAGTTCCAGCTGGATTTTTCTATGCAACCAGAGTGTGTGATGCCTTCAGCACTGGGAACTTGCCATCTAGTTATGGTAGACAATCAATATAATGACAATAGCTTTTACTGTTTTGGAATCCCCAGGGGTCTCTTTGACCAACGACTCATAAGAAGGCTATCTCACACCTTACACTGGGGTTTTCATGTAAAAACCCATGGCTTTTGAGAGTAGCAGCATCTACCTGCGCATGGTATCCCTCTTCAAAATTTGTTTAGACATATAAGCTTACACAGTTGTAGCATTCCATAAGTTTTTTCATAGAGTATTAACTTGGGTTAATGTTTCCCCTACCTCCTATTCTCTCCCATCTCCTATCCTATTTAAACCTCTGCAAACCCCAATACTCTATCCTTCTACCTTCACATCATATGTGTTCTTTTTCTCCTCCCTTACAGCCCCTGTATGCCCCGTTTCTAGCTTCCTGGCTTCTACAAGCACTTCAAGTTAAACACAGAAATCTAGAAATTTGGAGCTGAAATACACATATGAGAGTAAGCATATGGTATCTGTCTTTCCGGGCTGGATGACCCCTCTCATTGTATGTTCCAGTTTCATCCATTTTTTCTCAAAATTTCATACTTTTATATCTGAATAAAATTCCACTATACATATGTGTCCCATTTCCATTAGAAGATCTAGGCTGTTTCCCCCTCCTAACTATTGTGAATAGACCAGCAATAAACATGGGTCATAAAGAAAATAAATGACAAAAAATGGTGGTGAGGATGTTGGTAGCAGTTTAAACTGGAACATCTCCCGTGGATATCAGTATAGAGGCTTCTCAAAACTAAAAATAGAAATGCCATATGACCCAGATGAAGCATATTCTTACAGAACTCAATATGCTACTACTGAGGACATTTTTTTTCTTTAAGATTTCCATAAGAATGGCTGCTGTCACAAGGCAATTGCTTGTGAGGATGTGGAGAATTTGCAACACTTGTACATTGTTGGTGGCAAAACCATGCAACCATCATGGAAAACAGCAATAAAATCTAGGATGTGTGTCAAAAAGAATTAAAACTTAGACGTCAGGGAGATGCCTTCATTCCCATGTGCACCCCAGCACTGTTCTCAACATGAAGACAAGGAAGCAACCTAAATGCCAATTGACAGATAAATGCATAAAGAAAATGTGAAGTACCTATGCACCTGTACAGAAATGAAATGTCTAAAATTGAGTCTCATGAAAAAGGAGATTCTGCCATGTGTAACAAGAATTGATTATATCTGAGGATATTGTGCTAAGTGAAATAAGCCAGTGGCAAAAGGAGAAATACTACACAACTCTCAGTCAACGAGGGACTGTAGAGTAACAATCACATAAGCAAGAAGTACAGCAGTGATTCCCCAAAGAGAGGGGGTAATGGGCAACTGCTGGTGAGAGGATATAAAAGTTTATCTACACAAGGTAAACACATTCTGGAGATGTCTGTGAAATAAGGCGCTTGTAAGTAACAATACTGTATTTTGTACCTAAATGTTTATTAAAGGGGGAAATACCATGATTAAAAAACAACCATAATTGTGAAAGAACCAATATTCTCTCAATTTTCATGTTTGATGTCTTAGAAGAAATAAAAACCTTATTTATCTTTAAAAAAAATACTCCCTACAAAGAAATATCTACTGGGTAGTGGAATATTTGTTAGTAACTATATGTTCCTTGGTAGAATTTGTCACTTAAAGTTGTACCTGTGTTTATACATGAAAAAATAATTTTTACTTTAATCATCAAACTTTAAGCTTTTTGGTAGAAAAGTAATATTGCTGTCTGTAATTATACTTGTCTAGACAGATGACTCAGACCCGGCATTCCTCTGCAGCAGATGATCTCAGAGAACTCATCTGACAGCTAAATTGTATTTCACATTTTATACTAAAGAAGGGAACTTTGTAATTTCTCATTAACCTTTTTATCCTTATGTCTAACTTTTCCAGTCAAACTAAAATCAGAACAAACAGCACTGGCTCTCAACCTGATGCTGTAGAAAGGAGTACCACATGTTGCTATCACCTTCTCTTCACCTCTGCCCTGAGACAGGCAACTTCAGATGCATTATATAGTGAAGTCACTTCGCACTGTTAATAGGAAATAGCATGTTATAAATTTAAATAAGTTTTCTTAGTTAAATGGAGCGCCTTCTTAATTAGATCCTAAAGAATTCTCTAGTAGGGCTAGAGCACACCTCAGAAAGTCAGATGGTAGAAGGCATTTGTGCATTTTCCCACTCCATGGATGACATTAAAAGGTGAAATGGAAAGAGCTGATTATCTCAAAAGGTGTGTGTATGGATATACCTGATAAATACATACATATATATATATATATATATTTAATAGAGACTTAGTCAGGTTATATTAACTACTGCAAGTCTAGTTTAAGGGTACATAGACATATCTTAGCAACTTGTCACAAGAAACCTGGAACAGGTAGAGAGCACAATCAAGCTGAAATTTAAGAACAGTAAATTTAGGACAGGATAGCCTAGTATTGTCAAGAACCCAGAAACCTATCCCTGTATGCCATAGCTATCCTTCAGCAGTATCATCTCATCAGTCAACGTTTGAACTCTGTCATTATACATGTCAAGATTTTTAATGTGTAATAATCTCTGTTTTGTTTTCTTATTTATAATGTTATTTCTCAATTTACCCTTACAGGAAAGAGGATTTCCTTGTTCACTGAGTTCACATTATTCCACTTTAAGCAGGCCTTGAATGACAATCACATAAAGTCTGACCTTTACCTAGTTCACAGGGAAGAAATGCTCACAGCTGGGTTCAACAGCTGAAGGTAGACGTATGTGTTTAATAATCTGGGGGGTGGATCAGGTTTAGGTCAAAGAGAAGAGCGTGGCATGGAGAAAACTGTGGCAGGCACTGTGTGTGGTACCACCCAGGGAATGAGCACTTAGTTAAGATCACACTGGGAGAAGGATGAAGAACAGCAGCCAACAAAGCAGCATGCCCCAGGAAAAAACTGTAGGTTAGAATAGGCTGGAGCTTACAGTTAAAAGAAAGTCAGGGTCACTGAGGAAAGGGGCTAGAAGGAAGACTGAATACAACTGCCGTGGGCTAAGAGCTAACTTATACTCAGACGGCAGAAAACTCCAGTATAAAAGATTTTAACTTAGAGACTTAGTCATGCACTGACAGACAGCAACATGACATGGTGATGCTGGCAACCACCAAGAAGTTATGGTCATTATTTTCACCTACAGAAAGTTCCAAAACTTTTCTGTGCATCATCCACTCCTGACTTCTAGCCGTACTTCAGTGGGAGGGGTGATTGTTAGGGGAATTGGCCAAGCCAAAGCAAAGATTGTATTTCCTGTTTATATGTTTATTAAATAATGAGATCATAGATAATTCTTGAGTGTTTGAATTTTTTTTCAAGTAAGAATTTTACTTCAAAACCCACTGGGGTTTTAGGTGGTAGCAATTCTAAATAAGCTTATGATTTCTGAGTGTGCATCTACCTATAGCACCTTAATATGTAAGATTTATATTACTTTGATCATAAATGATCTAATGATAGAAGCTGACTCCCTTATATGAGTGAGCAACAGCCTTGCTGGAATGTAAGCCTCCGTGATAGTCACTACAAACGCAACACCAGCAGCGGAAGATGAGAAAGGAAGAAGAGCCCACAGAACTCATTTGAATACGAACAGACTTCACAGAAATATCTGCAAATAATTTTAACAAGCTTCCTGATATCAGTGAGATGATGCATTTTAATTTTCACACTTTAAACTTTTAAACCAAGGGAAAATATGATGCTCCTAATTGTATACCTTACTAAAGTTTGAGGAAAACCATAGATGATTTTTTTGTTTGCTTGCTTCATTGAGCTAATTATCAACCAGGAAATATAAATGTGAATACTGTAAACTGACTTTGAACCAGGGTTTTGCAGACTTCCAGCCACAAGGTCAAATTACATTTTGTTTTACATGAATGATTGTCGCAGGAAGATCAGGAAAAAAATGTGCCATTTAATTTTAAACCATGCTAAACTCAACATTAGAAGAGAAATTCAATTTCAAGTGAAAGGAGTGTAAGATCAAAATATTTTCCTTTAAAGTAAAACAAAATTAAAAAAATTAGAGGATAATATCCACATCCTTGAAAAGTACACTAAGTCTTCTTTCCAAATAATATCAGTCATTTATTGTTGTCACTAACATGAATAACTAATAAAAAGAATACTCAATTTATAATTAAATTTCTAAGTATTGCATCCTTTATATTGGGAATGGTTAAAGTTTTACAGGCCAGGAAACCTGTCTTCCCACAAGCTCTGTAATCATATTGAAAAATCTAGTGCCCATGGAAGGAGGCACTAGCTGCATCTTTCTTTTCACATCCGAGATTTCCATAATGCTATTGAACTTAATTGCATTTTACAATCACATTTTATTTACTTTGTGTTTAGAAGGAATAGGAACATCCCATATTGTACATTTGTAGGTCAAAATCAGATTGCAGGAGTCTGTTGTCTCCTTTTTCCACGTGGGTCCCAGGGATCAAACTCAGGTCCTAACAGCTGGCGGCAGATGCCTTCACCCTCACAGCCATCTTTCCAGTCCCTGACCTTCATCTCCACCTTGCTTTGTTCACCTACTCATATTTGCTAAAGAAAAATAAACTCAAAAAGCCAGAATTGCTTTACCTCCAAAAGACTAAACTCAAATATCCTACTTTTTCATTCAGTTTTATTTCTATATAATTGCTCCTTCCACTATGTCATTATTAACCCACCAGCTCTCTTTTCTTACCTCCCAGCTTGAGTTCTGTGACTCATTTTTTAGAGCACACTGTTCAACACCTAAAATTCCATCACCAGTGCTTCCTGATGTCCTGGTCCAGAAATTCAAAACTGGATTTGATACAAACATCTGCTCTTGCCAGAAAATTACACAATCATAAAGATGAATACTTCCTAGCTTCAGGAAAAACTCTTTCTGTTTGTGTAATGATGATTTTCTCTTATGTTTCCTGTCTAGATTTTTTCCTGGGAACAAACCTATGTATGGTTTTGAGGATTGTCCTCCATAGTTTCAACATTTGACTCCACTTCCTGGAACTCCACAACAATAGCTGAAATCCATAATACACCTGCCTCCCATTCAATAACTGAATCTAATCTTCTCCAATCTAAAATTAATCCCTGTTGGTTTATCATCAGTTTCTCTCTGTCATGACTGCTCATAGCATTGAAATTTGGTTGATCCTGCCCAGTAAAGAAGGGGAGATTTCCTATGTCTTGCTTCAGCTTTGTATTTATTGTATTGTATTGTTGTATTGAATACTATTTAATATTCAGAAACAAAACACCCAAGAAAACAGGCCTATATTCAACAGCTGTACTTTTTTGTATTTCTCATCTGGCTTCCAAATATGAGCATTCCCATGTATAATGTACACAATATATAATAAACTCTCAAGATGGAATCAACATATCCTCCATTCCTTTCCTGATCACTTACTATCTTTTGGTACCCTCAACCACTTGATTCTTCTTCAGTGTTTATTCCAGGACAACCCACTCTTTTT